GGGAACAGAGAAAGAGTGTGTGTGTGTGTGTGTGTGTGTACGCGCGCGCGCACGTGTGTGTTGGGGATAGATAAGCTAACTGGTAAAGGGTTTGAACATTTACAAAGTGTTATACTTTTTATTAAAAGGAAAATCGTTTGGGGTTTTTTTTTTTAAAAAAAGCAGCCATCATTTCTCATTGGAACGCATTAATTAAGCAAACCAGCATGGTTGGCACCACATGGGAACATGAATAAATCTGGCTCACGCTTTGAAAGGTACAAGTGGCAAAATTTTAAAGATAAACTTTTTAGACCAATGTGATAATAAACCATCATTTCCAGTCACATAGGACTTTTGTAATTTTCATAAAAGCAGTTCGTTTGCAGTATGGCTTTTGTGTAGTTAGGGGGTTTTTTAAGCATGGAGAAAGGTATGTGGGCTTTAAAAGTAATTCTAAATAAATCTTGACTAGAAAACACAAGAATTGGCTTTAATAAAAATGTCACCTTTTATTATTGACATCGATTTAAGTAATATTACCATATATATTTTAAAATACATATTGAATTGCAAGGCAATAAGATACCTTCTATAAGTAATGATCATAGAATTAACCCTTAAATATAGTTTTACCTATTTTGTTTACTCTAAAAATCTATAGCAGAGTTTCTCTATTTTATATTTCATAGATTTAAAAAAACCCAAGTAAAGATGGATTTAAATTCACTGTGGAATAGTATTGAGTAACAATCTTGAGTTTAAAAAGGCAAGCAATTCCTTAATAATCTGGAATATTCTATATGGCTTTATTGCATAACAAACAAGACCAAAATTTAGGGCTGTCTTTGACATCACTGCTGGCTTGAAGCAGAGTACACACATTAGGTACTGTAAAGAACACCAATCCAAACTTTTCTTCTGTTGTTTGCACTGATGCTATTTTTTTGGTTCTTTTATGTTTATACAACATGTTATGTTGTGTGAGGGAAAGGTGTTTCCTTTTTTAAAATCTGCTTTGATTTTTGTTCTTTTGGTTTTGGCTAAGTAGAGGACATGGACTAGTCATAGCAAACAGAACATGCAGTTTGCTCTTGCCAAAGGTCAGTGAGTAAGTGCATTTGCTGCAGTGGTGGCACTTAGAGAACTAGATCGTGACAAAGATTTAAAACTTTGAAGAGGGTTACAGTGTAACTATTTTGGTACTAGAACCAGTTCATGCTGGCCGAAAAGACAATGGTTTATGGACTTGCATCCATTTTGTATTTTTGTAATATTTGTAAATACGAACTTTTTAAATTGTTGCAAAGATGGTTTCTTTTGTAAGATGTTTTCAACGTTTACATTCAATCCAAGCCTTTGTATATTTTAGAGCTGTGCAACACTTTAAGTCTTGTATTTATTTTTAGTAAAAACGGTGACAGTTTCATTGTGAACCCCTCTCAAAAAATGTACCAGAAAAGTTTGATTACCTAGAAAGTGTGTATAGAAACTGCAAATAAACGTGACTGCAATTAAACAACTGGCCTGTCTCTATTGTTATTTAATTGTATTTGTGGAGCTTCACAAAATGCTTTTGGTTTCGGTTTTTTGAGACAGGGTGGCCTCAATCTCACTATGTAACTCAGACTGGCCTCAAACTCGAGGCAGGCCTCCTGCCTCAGTGTCCTGAGTGCTGAGAAGAGAGGCATGTGCCACCTCACCCAGCCATAAGGTATTGGTAAACAGCTCAGGGTAGTTACTTTGTTTTCCTAAACTCAGAGCAACTAATTGTTGGTGCTGGGGTTCAAAATCAGCAAATGTAGTTCTAGGATCTGTGTCAGTTCTCCACATCAACTTGTGCTTGTTACAGGCTGGATTCATACCAGATCAAGCCACAGGCAAGTGCTAAGACCAGGCACCTCTGTCCATTCAAATTGAAGCATTGATGTTCATTCCCGGAATCCAGTCAACGGGAGCATCTCAACCACGGGAGGGGGGGGGCGGCAGGATTGTATGTAAATACCAATAAGCTTCAAATGATCAAATGATAAAAGTGGGCGGTCATGTGTCCTTTTGCCTGACCCTCAGGAGCTGTCATCCTAGAATATTTAGCCACCAGAAGGTTTGTTAGGCCGGGCATGGTCATGCATGCCTGTAATTCCAGCACTTGGGAGGCTGAGGCTGGAGGATCGCTGTGAATTTGAGACCAGCCTTGGCTACAAAGGGATCTTATGGCCGTCCTGAACTGAAAACGAGACCCTGGCTCAAAAAGACAGAAAAAAGAAAAGAAAAAATCAATTGTGAATGGGTGGGATCCGCTAATTCAGAGCCTCCTTCTGATCCGGTAGGTGTCAGCTAACAGAAATCTGGGCGACGCCCATCTAAGACAGCAAGGAGACCCGTGTAGGCACCTCTCGGTGGGCCACAAGCCGCCCCACCCCTACCCCCGTCTACCTAGCTTCCCTGCTTAAGGCTAGTCAGAGGCCATCAAGATTGACAGCGCAAAAGGGTCGCGAGTCCATAAGCGGTCGCCTATTGGTCTGCGGCACAGCCCTGCCCCCAGCCGCGTGCGAGAGGAGCTGCGCTCGAGGGGACCAGTGTCCGAGAAGACCCGCGTGCCGGACAGTTCCTGGGCAGCCCACCGCGAGCGGAGGCTCGCGACAAACACGTGCACAAGCACGTGTGTGGCACGTGCCACGTGCGCACTTTACGACAGCAGGTGTGGTTTCCGGTAAAATGACCGTTATTTTAGAGGCTATAAAAGACCGTAACGGTTCTTCTCAGCGTCAGAGCTGCTGTCCGCGTCTGGTGGGAGGCTGCTGTGGCGTCTCCGCACCAGAAAACGTCAGTTGGGCGTACTTTTTCCACTTTTTTGGGTTTTTTCCCGTGCTGGGTGTGGGCGAGTGGTGGATGCGAGCACGCACCAAGAAGCGGTGGGCTGCGCAGCCGGGCACGGGATAGGGGCGCCAGAGCCCTCGAGCTTCGCCGCCCGGAGGGCTGGTCGTGGAGGCCCGTGCGGCGCGGGCGGTGCGGGCGGGCGGAGGCGGAACGCGCGGCCAGGGTGTCGCGGATGGGTGGAGGTGGGACAGGGGCGTGGCGGGGCGGGACGGGAGCGGGGCGGAGGCCGGGCGGAGAAGGGCGGAACACGCGGCCAGGGCAGCGCAGACGGGCGGAGGCGGGACGGGGGCGTGGCGGGGCGGAACGGGAGCGGGGCGGACGGTGCGGAGGCGGGCGGAGGCCAGGTGGAGGCGGGCGGAA